GTCCACGCTCCTACTGGTAGTGAGATACGGGCCCAACCCATTCTTACTCCTTCCCTAACTTGGGCCTCGCCCCTGTTTTACTACTAATGAGATATGGAACCTCATCCACACTCTGTTATTGGTGAGATATGGGACCTCGCCCACACTCGCCTCCCTACCAGGCACATACATGTATCACACAGACAACAAGTATAAACTATCATATAAACAAATCCTTGGGCATCTGCCCCATATTAATGGACCTCATCCTGAATATCATACTAGCATACTGTGCCTAGGGCTAACCCGCGGGTCTTCTATTCATAACTGCATGGGCCGAGATTGTGGCCTTAGACCCATACACACAAAGGGAAACTCACCTGCACTAGTTGAACTTGCTGATGATCTCATTAGCTGCTGCCCTGCAACTCACTGAACTCCTGATCCCCTTGCTCCCCGAACTACCAATATCAATGCAACACTGAGTCTAACTGACCCCTGAAAGACAACCAAGTCAACTCTAGTCAAAGTCAAAGTCCTGGTCAAGGTCAACCTCCCAAGTCAACCCTACTCATCGAGTCAACCTACTGACTCGCCGAGTTCATATATTCAGAGTCCTTCCTTTCGCGTCTCGACTCGCCGAGTCTACCGATTTCTGATTCTTGACCTGTCCAACTCACCGAGTCTTCACTCGACTCACTGATTCGAGTCTCAACTCGAAGGGTTTGGGGTATCGCAACCCGACTCGCCGAGTCCAAGAACAGACTCGCCGAGCACAAGGCAATCTTCATCTGACTCGACGATCTGTTCATCCCACTTGTCGAGTTGCTCCTCACCTTCATGCTACTCATCGAGTCCACTCAAAGGACTCGCCGAGTCCATTCATATCTCCTTACATGCAGAGGACTTTTGAGTCATGCATGGACTCCAAACTGTAGATCTACCCTTCCCAAGCCTATTCCTCACGTAAATTAACAAACTTTACGTGTAGAGAAGGAGATCTAGGCAAAATGCACCATAAACTAGGGTTTAAGGCAAAGAGGCTCCATAAACAACTCAAGGGCTGATACTTTATGCTTCTCAAGACCATAAAATGCTTAGATCTAAAGTAGCAACTTCAGATATGGCTTCTAACTCAAATGAATAGCATTATGGCTAAAACGCCCCAACAACCACACATAGATCTAAGTGCAAAAGAGTCCAAGAACTATATTATTACCTCCAAATGCTCAGAAATATACTCAAAATCCCAGATCTATAGTCCTTTCTTGCGCCTCCAAGTTCCTTCTTCCTTCTCCAAGCTTTAATGGACCCTTCAATGCAACAAATGGCTCAAATAGAGGATATGGCGGCTAGGGTTTGGTGTTCTGGGTTAGAGAGGCAGTAAAGGAACCCTAGGGAGGAGAATGAGGCGCTTAAATAGGCTCCAAGTCCCGAATTTAGGGTTTTCTCCACACAGACCAGACTCGCCGAGTCCCCTTGGCCGACTCACCAAGTCGGTCACTTATTCCTCGACCTGGATCCCGCTCGGACTCGCCGAGTTCCTCCTTGGACTCGCCGAGTCGCCCTTTAAAATTAGGGTTTTCTTTCCTTTCTTGGCCTTCCAGACTTCGGGTGTTACATAGTGTATCTCTTGTTTTGTTTTTTTAAAACGGCAAAGTTAGTCTCCTAGTTAGTGGATTTGAGTCATACATTAACATCCAAGCGAATAGTATGCCTTCCGTAAACCCTCCCATTTAGGGAGTAAACCCCACTTCGCTTCTCCTAAGGAAAATCCCTCAGAAAGACTTGAATTTGAGACCTCCAAAGGAAAACCCCCCAAGGTCACCCATGATGGCCAATTGATCGAGACCAATTTGTTGAATAATTCAACCACTCGATATTAATTGATTCATTTTTTTAGTTTGTTTTCAGTACAACCAACCCCTATTTAATCAACAATATTTCATATACTTCTAATTATAACTAAACTTTTAATCTATCATTTATTAACTAATTAATTTATTTTAATAAATATTAAATAATTTTTATTCTAATGTTTGATATTAAATATTAAATTATCAATTATAACATAATATTTGTAGGTATTTTTATAACTACATACTTAAGAGTAATTATAACTTTCATATTTAAAAAAAAAACCAAAAATGTTATACTTTTAGTTTTGGTTTGGTTATCTAATATTTCATTTGAAAATTTGATATTTTGTAACGTCCCAAAATTTATGACCAAAAATTTCATTTTTAAATAAGTAGTTATAAAACCAGTAGTCTGAAACATCATTAGTGTCAAGTCCTATCATAGTCAAAACCAGTATGTCAAATAACCAAAACATGTCATAGAAAAGTAATATCAGAATACAACTCCCAAAGGTCTCATAATACGGAAAATCATAGTGTGATGCGTTGCGATCATGCCGACTCCTTTCCTTTTGAAGAAGAAGTACCTGAAACCAAAACTGAAAACCGTAAGCACAAAGCTTAGTGAGTTACCCCCATCATGCCACATAACATACAATAAACATACAGCTTGACATATTTGGGTGTTGGCCTATCCCTTCGGTCTCTTTCAACCCGTAACCGCCTAGCATATCTGGGTGCTGGCCTCCCCTTCGGTCTCTTTCAACCGGTAACTGCCTAGCATATCTTGGTGCTGGCATACCCCTTCGGTCTCTTTCAACCGGTAACTGCCTAAATATCTGGGTACTGGCCTACCCCTTCAGTCTCTTTCAACTGGTAACTGCCTAACATATCTGGGTCTTGGCCTCCCCTTCTGTCTCTTTCAACTGGAAACCGGGTCTATTTCACCCCTACCACTACCACATAATATCCTAACACATAATCACATAATCGCAACAGATAGTGGCATACCAGATAATTATCACAAAGATAATTATCTCTACTATAAACAACTACTAGTGTGTCGACATTGGTGCCTTCGACCTACTGCTACCGAGAAGGTAACTCACCTCACACTGTTGAAGTCCGCTGAAAGAAATCCTTAGCTGCTATCCTGGAAACTCCTCGAGCTATCAATACCAAAATATCACCAAATTAGCAATTGGGTCCCAACCCACGATCCATAATCCATACTTGGGGTGAAACGACTATTTCACCCCTGGCCGAACAAGATTCACAACCAAGGCCCAAAACTATCAAATCCATAAAAACCCATCAATGGCCCAATTTTCCAAATTAGGCCCAAACCCTTACATGGGCCTTTCCCTAAAGCCCATTTACTTTTCTGAACCAATAATATTCCAATAGCCCAAAGGTCCACGGCCATTGGGCCCAATCAAGGCCTAACTACATTGGGCCCACTAAGGCCCAATTCATCATCCAAGGCCCATTAGGGCAAGCCCAGCAAAGCAAGCCTAATCAAAAGTCCATTACTCTAAAATCCTTAGTCCATTACGAGCCCAAACCAAAGGATAAGTCCAATACCAAGCTAGCCAACAATCAAAGAGCCTAAAACTTGCACAGGTGATTCTCACACCGTGAGCACATTATGTGTTGGATTAGATGTCTAAACCCATAACTATAATTGGTAGGTACTTGAATTGATAGCAGCACAGTCCTTTTGGGTTGCCCTCAAACCTTGCAACCGGACAAGGAAATTATGAAAAAAGAGATATTAATTTATTATAATATTAATAAATTAATATAAATGAATTTATTAATATGTTAAAAGATTAATATATTAATAAGAAATCATTTTGTTTAATTAATTGTTAGCTATAAATTAATTAGAATTAATTTTTGGGTTGAAAGAATTAATTATAAAGTGCAGGGACTAGTTTGCAATTATCTAATAGTTGAGTGGAAGGCTCTAGAACCCCCTTGGATGAGGGTGGACGAAATCTTTAAGGGAAACCCTAATAATTTCCTCCATAGGGGCTTGGATAAGGCCTTTGGGTTTGCTTAGGGCCTAAGCAAAGGATAACTAGGGTTTCCCTCAAACCCTAGATCCCTCAGCTATATAAGGAGCCTCCTGGTTCATATTTTGGTCACTCTTTCTTTTGAAGAAACCCTAAGGGCCGAGATTTTGCATACTCCGTGTCCCCTCTCTCTTCTACTTTCCTTCTTGCTAGTTTGGGTGTGATTCCATTAGAGGCATTACACTTGTGGTGCTAAGCTTCCAAGAAGATCAAGATCAAGATCAAGAGAATTATCAATTGTTTGCTATAACAATTGAAAGGTATGTTAATCTTAAACCCTAGTTTGTTAATTTCGAAATTAGCCTCTCTCCTCTAGGGTTCTTGTTTTGTAATTCAAACACTACTAGAAAAACAGCCTTTTACGACGTGCAAGCAATGACACGCAGTGATTTACGATACGCAAAAAGCATGCGCCCTAAAAAAAAGTCATCTCTTCTAAAATTTGAAGGATAGAGGGCACGCATTTGTGCGTGCCCTGGAATTAGTGTCAAAAAAGGAAAAAAAATGAAAACACGGAGGGCTCTTATCTTAAATGTGCGTCCACTTCAAATGTCGCTTTATATTTTTTTTCTTAAACACGCGTTTTAAAGGGGGAAAACGAAATCGCCTGAAATTCTAAAATTTTGAAGAATCCTACTTCTACCCTGTCTCCTCAGTATCTCCCTTAATTCACTATTTCCTTCTCTCCGTAAACCCTAAGCCATCGCCACCGCCACTGCCATTGAACCTTAAAAACTCAATCCACACTTCACGCTTCTGTTATTCTCTCTTCTTCGGCTCTCTAATCTCTGGTTTTAGTCTGAAAACATATATCGACCTCCAATTAGAAACCCAAAAAATTGAAAACTCCACATTTCCGAGCGTGTTGGCATTCGTGCTTTGGTGTACCTGGTCCTTGTTGTTCTATTCTTCTCCTCTTCGGTGACTAGGCCTCGGGCTCACCTAACCTTGTCGGAGACTACGACAATTGCTTAACTTTGCAGATTACATTATGAGAGAAGAATAGGAAGGTGGATGAGGATTGCGTGCTATGTCGCAGATTCCTCCTCCATTAGTTGATTTCGTTTATTTTTTTTGTTGAAGAATGGTTTGGATAAGTGTTTTAAGATCCGAAGAGAAGGGGTAATTTAGGGTTGTGATTTAGTCAAGCATAATGAATGTGATGCGTCATTTGAAGAGTATCGCCGCTGGTCGTACGTCTGTTTTTCGAGGAAGCAGATGTATTCACCCTTTTGAAGATCACGATTGAAGATCCTAAGGATGATTATGTAATTTTGAAGGAACTAGAGGGGTTGGGTGGTGGTACTGGTCGCGGCGGCGGTGGTTATTGTTTGCTGCCTTCTCCTTCCTCGTCGTCGAGGAGTTGTAGTAGTTTTGGTCGCGGCTTTTGGTGCTCTCTTTGGTGGTGGTCAAAGCTTGTTCTTGTGTTTATCTTCTTGGCTGTTGTGGGGGTTTTTTTCTTTCTATGGATCGGACCTTTTTTTAATGAATAAGGCATGTCGATATGCATTTATCCGAATTTCATTATTTTATCTGCAAATTCCCCTTTTTTTTCTTACCGTTGATGCATAAATCACTCATTAACCCTTATTTCCCCACTTTCCTCAAACTAACCCTAACTCGCCTCTCTAGAAAGAACCCTAATTCCCAATCTTAGTGATATTCTCGACTCTTTCCTTGATTTATATGCATAATTCAGGAACGATCCAACTGGATTTCTGAAATTATTCCAACTTCTATAACTTCAATCCCTCTGTTTCTTATGCTGGAGCTCTTAGTGCATGTTTTTTTTCTACAGATTCATCCAAGTGCTCTAAAGCACGGAGGAAACCCTTTGGTAGCATGCTGCGTCTCTGCTACTGAAAAAGCAACTAGAAGTTCTTGAGTCGGTAAGCCTGCCTCTTAAATTTTATTTATGGAAAAGGACACTATATGAAAGGTGGATAAATCATAGCTACATGTTTGATTCTTTTTCTGCTTTAAGATTCTACAACTTCTTGAGAGAACAAAACTAGTGTTTTTCAGAATCTAATCAAGGCTATCCCCCATTATTTATCTTTATATAATAAGAATATTTATTTATGTTGTTCAAGGTCCTTGATTGCAGGTTTCAATCAAGCAAATAGTAAGATATGCTATAATTATAAGAACCAACATTTTGTAGTTTATATAGGGTTAACTCTAAAAAATAGCAACACCCGCATTTATTTGTTTGTTATAGTTTCTTACCTCTGTTTCTCCGTATTATAGCTTTGTGTTTTTACTTTTCTGTTGTTTTTTAATTTTTTTCCACTTGCATAATTTGAAATTGGGGTGTAAACTCAAACAATTAAACTTTATCTATGGATATGACAATGCAGTTATCTGAAGGAAGAGTGGAAAGACAGGAAACACGAGTCATCTGATGATATATGCCTAGATTTGATAATTTGAGATTTATTTCACTAGAGGTAAGATATGAATTTAGCCCTTTTTGTAATTCATTTAGGTTTATCATGTATTTTTAATGTTAAATTCGGATTTTGATTATTATGTTTTATGCAGGTTGTCATTTGGTTATCTAGTTCTTTCCTTTAACTCATCTTCACAAAATCAAGAACATACAACAGATCCAGGTAATATATTGCTTTTTCTTCCATAGTATACTTAAAATTTAAGATGTCTCTAGTTACATTCAGTTTGATTTAACTGTTGCTTAACTTTATTAAGTTTGGGCTGCTTGTTCAATATTCAATTGTCTTGCAGGAAATTCGAGACAGCAATACTTGATGTAATATCAAAATAAAAGCTTGGAAATGTATGTGCTTAAGTCTTATTTGAACAATGTTTTTTAGCAATCCAGGACATCCTTTTGTTGTTGGTCTTACTATGGAAAAGCTTTTTGCTTTTACAGTAGATGAAAACATTTGACACCAGTGGTGCACTAGATAAATTGCGAAAGGTCAGTCCCGTTTGCCATCTTTTGTATCCTACTTTTCCATTTAAATATTTAGTCATTGACACCTTTTTAGGTCTTAGGAAAAGGAAAGGAATTCTTAACAAAGTTCAATTATTTATGTCCTTTTTATGATAGATGGCATCTGCTTTATCATCACTTACCAAAAATTTAAAGTTTATGTCTTTTTAATATCTCACATGTTTTTTCAGTCATTGCAACTTGAAAGGCTTACAATGTATCATGATTCCAACCGACCTCCTTGGAAGGTGGATAAGAAATGGGAAGATCTCAGTCCTAAGGATTGGGTTGAGGTATGATCCTTGTTCCTTTCATATTTAAATGGTTGTAATGGAAGTAGTATGTACCCTTTGATGGCATCTCATTTAGGGCTTGTCTCTTGCGGGGAGAGTTTATAATTTGTAGTTCCCCTTGGATTTATATGATTTTTATTTTAATATAGTGTCGTTATAAAAAAAGAATGTGTTTCATTTTATGGGAGTTTGTGTCTGATGCAGGTACGTAAAGGATATGGAATTGGGTGTTTTGAGTGACATGGCTGACATTCATAAAAAACTTGCTGGAAGTTACTAAAGAAACAGGTAAGCATCTTATACTTTCATGTAGTTGGTTTTGTAAATAAAGAGTCACTATTGGTAAAAAGTTGTTGTTTTCAATTCATAATAATTTTTTTAGAAAAATATAGTGCTAGTAGGTTCAGAAAGCCACTAGAACACAATTTGCATGGGTTGTGGTGGGTTTGTGATTATTGTGTCTTATTTCCTATCCATTCTTTTATTTTGTAAAGACATTTGTGTTGTTTATTTTTTTTTTATGTATTTACTTATTTGTTTGGCAATCACATGGTTATGTGTGATAATAAAGTTTATGAAATATATTTAGTTTAATTGCTCCATATTCGGTTTTAAATAAGTTTTATGTTGTAGAAAAATATGGAAAAATGGTCCCTTAAAAGTTTGTTACATTAATGGTCCCTATAGCATGAATATATTGTAGAAATGGTCCTTGGTAATGATGGCAAGTGCTTTAGATCTCCTCCTTCGTGCTACAGATGGCATGCTTGTTAACGGAGAAACATGTACTCTACCACAACTCAAGGTATCATATATTTTCAAATTTAATTTCATTTCACATACTCTTTCATTGACTTGTATATGTGTATATATATATATATATATATATATATATATATATATATATATATATATATATATATATATATATATTAAAAATGAATTGAATCAGTGAAATTTTGGTTGTTGTTTTAGCTTTTGGAAGCAACTGCTAGAGCCATTTTGCATGCTGGCCTGATCAACCTAAGTGGATTTAAGCTACTGAAAAAAGCACAGTCACTCCATCTGTTTATTCACGAAAGGAACCGGTGGAAAACCAATGTTGCAACATACCAAGTTATATTATGTGTTGGACTGGCCGACTGAGATTCAAGTCAAATAGGACAAAAAAAACCCGTTCTCGATCTCTTGTTTATCATAAAAAATTAGCCCTAAAAAGCTTCACTAGTCCACTGTATTGTCTCATTAAAGTCTAGAAGAAGCTTTCTAGGGTGACCTATTCATTACATCTGCACTTACATATGACTATTGACTCATTATAAACATACAGTCATACAATTAAAGTAAACAACACTTGTTAATAGTAATTTAGCCAAGCTTGTAATTACAGATCTCCTCTGGTTAATCAGGTCACTGAGGATCCTGGGAAGACGGTTACTGTTCAGAGAAACTTAGCCAATTTTGGAATCAAAGAGCTCACAAGAACAGGGAAGGTGAGATGTGTCTTAAATGCCTTTTTTCATGCAACACACACACTAACTATGTATGCTGCAAATTGTAGATTGCTTTAAGAAGATAAAAAGTTGGGTGAAACTGCTCCATTTTGGAACTTCCGTGCTGCTTCGTATCCAAATCTGGAAGCCCCAACTCCAATTCCTACTGCCTCAAATATAAGTCACACGGTTGATAAGAACTTGAGTGCGGTTTCAGGGGTATATTCTTTAATTCTTTGCAGGTTTCTATTTGTGATAATTACTTTTTTTTTTATTAATTTGAGTTGTGATATGTTTGTTTGAATGTAGGGAGATGTTTATCATGTGGAGTACTACAATAGGTTCTCAATGAATCAAGTCCTTGACCCCCATTGGGGTGTGCTTTATGAAGAAGATGTAAGATATGCATCAATTTCTCATTTTTCATTAATGTCTTATCAATCATTATTCAGCAAATAGTTTATGGGCTATATATAACTTAGATTTAATATTAATAAAACAGTTAACTAGTCATAAGTCTCACACTGTGAACATTCTTGTCAATAATGCTCCTGGAGTTCTCAACCTGGTCACCGGAGTTATATCCATAAAGGGTTACAACATCCAGGTTTGGTTTTTTATCCTTATAGTATAATTTTTTAGGTGAAATGTTTACTTTTTTTAAATAACAATATTTAAAAATAAAAAAATGTGTTGTGTTAATATGTGCAGAGTCTGGCTGCAGGTCCTGCAGAAATGGAGGGTATAGCTTGGATTACAAGTGTGATTCCTGGAACAGATGAATCTATTGAGAAATTGGTTCAACAGTTTACATTCATTCTCCATTTGTGGGTTCCATCAAATTTCCTATTACAATATTGTAGAAAAATCTACAAAATTGACATATATTTTTTTGCAGGTGTTCATTTTCAATGGACGAAAACGTCTTTTAGTGATAGTGAGAGGGAGGAAAATCGCAGGGGTTACGTTTGCCAGTGATTTGATTAAGCAGATGCATGAGATTGAGCAACAAATAAGTGGGGTTACAATTGGAATGGTTGTTTCCAGAGTTGAGAGTCCGGTCAGTAAAGCGAATACAAGGAAGGGAATTAGAGGCGGGAGTCCGGGATTGGCAAGACGGAATCATAGGCGAGAGTCCGGGGTTACGGGATTTGCCTTCGGCTTTGAGTTCTTCCATGTCGTTGCCTTTACAGTTGCTGTTAAGACTATTTCCTGTAATCTGTGTTGGTGGGTAAGTTTTTGTATTTTATTTATTCATTTATAACTTAAATATGTTGATTGCATCTCATCTCATGTGCTTGAATATGTAGGGATCCATCATCACGTAGCATGGGGCACATGCTAGCTACAGTGGTCCTTTGTCATTATTTATTTGTCTTGTATGCAATAATTAATATTCTTAACAAGTGTCAACTTAAAACTACCATCATGAATCTTCCACATTTGCTGGATTCCTCAGATGAGTCGACCTTCACTATATGAATATCAAACAAAGCTAATACAGAAAGAGTTTAAGGTATTATTTAGTATGAAGGAATGGAATAGCTTTTTTTGTATATTCTTCTATTATTAACTTTTTTGGCCGGGGTTTAGTGATTGTGCTTTTGGTAAATCAAAAGTTATCATGTTAATTTGACAGTGAGTGATGAAGGAGAGAACTGGAGTGGTTGGTGTTGTATATAGTTTCTACTATAAATAGATAAGGATATGTATATGGTTTCTACTATAAATATTGTCCAAAAGAGTGTTTCAATAGCAACAATGGAACTTGTTTTAAAGGTGTCATTCTCATTCAGTTAGTTGTTTGTATGGGGATGCTATAATTACTTATTGAAGGTTCTTTGCATAAACATCTTTTGAAAATGGTTTCTCGGTGTTTCTTTCATGGATGCAGTTTCTTGGAAATTGATCTAGGCCATTTGAAAGTGACCAATGAAGTTAGTTGGCATGGACCTGCGGAAGATCAAGCATCTATTCATCGTGACTATTTTCTCGGATTTCCTTTTCACCTGCTGTCTTGCCATGAATTTGGGTGAACAACCTATTCTACCTCCTCATTTTTGTGACATAAACTAAAATGAAGTTAATTCATGTTTCATCTCCTTACATTTTGATGACATTAAATTTTGATATACGTGGGTTTAGACCATCTGTTCTGAAGTTCCCAAGTGCAGAAAAGTTCAGTGAAGTTGCTAAATTTATTGGAACAAAGTTTTCTTCTTTAGAATCCATTAACTTCACTGTTGGGATTTCTAAAGTAGAATGAAAATGACAAGTGATTTTGTGTTGTGTTTACAGGGTTGATGAAAGCGAATAGCTCTGGAGTTAGAGGAGGAAAAGAAAGCTCAAGCTGAAAGAGATAAGATGCTGCAAATGCGCGCAAGTGTTGCATTCTTCATTTCAATTGTTAGTATGAAACACAAAGTAGATTATTTCTATATTGTTAGTATGAAGATGAATGCAAATTTATATATTGTAATAAATAGAATTGTATGACATTAAATTTTATGTAATGGATTGTATTTTTATATGGTATTTTATTTCTATTATGAGACAGTAAAAGCAAATTTAATTTAAAAATTAATAAATATATAAATATATTTTTTTAAACATTTAAATTTACGATACGCAAAAATGTGTGTCATATTCATTTATGACATGGCCTTTCTTGACAGGGGTTTTAATGATACGCATTGCGTGTCATTAACACACGCGTCGTAAGGTTACGACACACGAATGCATGTCGTCTTCCTTTATGAAAGGGCCTTCCTAGATACGCATTGCGTGTCATAAATGAGCGTCCTCTATAGACGACGTGCAAAAGCGCGTTGTCTCTCTTTATGACAGGGCCTTCCTTGACGCGCATTTGCGCGTCGTCTGAGCCTTTTACGACGCGCATTGAGCGTCGTAAAAGGCTGTTTTTCTAGTAGTGAAAGTTGTATGTTCAATAGTTAAAACATAGATCCAAAGTAGGTTGCATGTGAACTTAGGAATTGTTTTCTAGTTTATTTGTTTTACCTAAAACCCATCAGTGGTATCAGAGTCATTGTTTGTTTTAAATTGAATTGCTATATTTGTTGAATTGCAAATTAGGGTTTATAGCTATTAAACCCTAAAGGCCATTTTTTCGATTTTTAGGGTTGTGCATTAAAGGGTTTTCGAAAACCCTAGCCTCCAAAGAACCCTAATCGAAATTAGGGTTAGGGTTTTGAAAACCCTAGCCTCCTCCCTTGTAAATTTCGAAATGTGCTAGTTGTTTTAGGGTTTCTTGTTTTGGATAATTGTTACTTAATTAGATTAATTGGATAATTATCCTTACCCTATTTTTCGAAATTTAGAGGGATAAGGATTAGGATTAAATTAATCGATTAATTTAATTAGATAATCCTTACAAGATTTAATAAATTAATTAAAAGTTAATTAATAGATAAATATTAAATCTATTTAATTGGTTTATTTAAATTTAAAATTTAATAGTTTAAATTTCGAAAATTTATATAAACCTTTGGAGTTTTAAAATGTTTTAAAACACACCTTATATATATATATATATATATATATATATATATATATATATATATATATATATATATATATATATTATAATTAAAAGTTAAATATTATATATGTATAAGAATATGGTTAGTCAAATCGCTAGTATGCTTCATTCACGAAGCTAGTCTATAAGGTTGGTATAAGGAAACTGCCTATAAAATGGTAGTTGAATGGGTGTCCACTCTCACATTATACTTTTAATGAGAAGTAATTGTCCTATCAAATCCGTTCTGCTAACGACCCTCCACTAATCAAGAAAGTACTAGAACATTATTTTTCAAAATCCCAACTCTAGTTACTTTAGGAAAAATGTGAAAAATATGCTAATCCATGAAATTGCACATTATGCTTTATTGGTCGTTAGTGGAGCGTGTGTGGTTAACCGGCACACTAAAAGACACTAATAAAGAGTAGTAATGGGTATCTTATAATTATCATTTTGATGGAGCGTGTGTAGTTTACCGGCACATCAATAGTTAATGATAAAGACAATAAGGTTACCAAGCACATTTGCATGGTTATTCACATCTAGTTTGTGATCCTCGGTATCCCAGTCACAAATAGTGGAGCATAATGCGAGATTAAAACATGCCATTAAATAGTTTTAATGTATCTCAAAAGAATTAGGAATTTCACTTTGTTTACTTTGTCTAATGGTGGAATTGGTGAATCGTCATTCACCTACCTTTATGAGATTTGAACTTGGATCTCGGCATCCCATTTCTAAGTTGTAAATCGTCATATTTGGGTCCTAACCTTGATATGATATCTTTGGGTTATTATATTGAGGTGTCTTGAAATCTAACTAAAACTATCTTTCTTTTCAGATGTCTACTCCTGGAAACACTTCTGCTTCATCATCCTCCAACCACAACTTCTCTCTACTAAACATCTGCTCCAAAGTCGTTATGGATGGCTCCAACTATAACGATTGGATGCGTAATATCAAGATGGCTCTTAGATTCGAGGACAAAGAGTATGTCCTTGAAAAGGAGCTCAAAGAACTTGATGAGTCCAAAGCCACTCCCGAAGAGTATGCTGCATACAAGAAACACTATGATGATGCTACCAAAGTGGCATGCATCATGGCTGCAACCATGTCCCCAGAATTGCAGAGGTACTATGAGGACTACTGACCTTTTGAGATGAACAAGGACTTTATGGAAAAGTACCATAAGCGAGCTCGTCAAGAAAAGTTTGAGGTAGTCAAGTCACTCATGGCTTGCAAGATGAAAGAGGGGGAATCGGTTGTATCTCATGTGCAAAGAATGCAATGCTACATAGAGAGTTTGGTCAAGCTCAACATTCACTTTGATGAAGAATTGGCCATTGACATGGTCTTGAACTCATTCTCTGATTGTTATGGTCAGTTTATCTTAACTTATCATTTGAACAACATTGAGCAGATATTGGCCCAATTGCACAACTTGTTGCAGACAGCTGAGGTAGGGATGAAGGGTAAAAGTATACCCTCCACACCTACAAGTGCCCCTGTCTTGGCTATTGGACAAGTAAAGGGGAAAAAGAGGAAAGGTCCTCCCAAGCAAAACTGGAAGAGCAAGGCTCAAGTTGTGTCATCTAGTAATGACCCAAAAGCTAACCCAATGATTCCACTCCCCATGTTTCTAATCCAAAAGAGGTAGTTTGCTTTTACTGCAAGAAAAAGGGGCATTGGAAGAGATCTTGCCCACAATATCTGCAAGATATCAAGGATGCCAAAGTGAAGCCATCCTCGGCAGGTATTTACACTATTTCTGCTAATAACTCATTATCTTCTTGTTCATGGGTCCTTGATACAGGATATGGTTTTCATATATGTTCTAATTTGCAGGGCCTAAGGGAAAGTGAGGAGATAGAGCACGGGAGGATAAACTTGATCATGGGGAACAGAAAGTCTTCACCAGTTACCAAGATTGGAGTTTATCAACTTTTGCTCAGTAATGATGTTAGATTAGATTTGATAAATTGTTGCTATTCGTCTGAGATAACGAGAAACATTATTTCCTTTCATGCATTGTTCAAAAAAAGGTTTTAAATATTCTTTTAATGATTTGAATGGTTCAATTTTTGTTTATAAGAATGGTGTTTTTGTGTTTGAAGCTTTACCTTGTGATGGTGTGTATGAAACAGTGACTTGTGTTGATAGCTTAGGAAATAGTGTACTTAATATTGACTTGTCTAATAGTGTAGTCAAGGCATGCTTGTGGCATTGTCGTCTTGGACACATTAACAAGAAACGCATAGCCCAACTCCAAAAGGATGAAGTGTTGGAATCATTTGACCTAAAATCAGATGACATGTGTGAGTCTTGTCTTTTAGGAAAGATGAAAAAATCACCATTCACAGGGTTTTGTGAAAAAGGTGAAGGTCTGTTGGATCTCATACACATAGATGTGTGTGGGCCCTTCAGATCAACCACAAGGGATGCTAATCGATTCTATGTGACTTTCAATGACGATTATAGCAGATATGGTTACATCTACTTGATCAAACATAAGCCAGAAACCTTTGAAAAGTTCAAAGAGTTTAAGCATGAAGTCGAAAATCAATTGGGCCGAAAGATAAAGATACTTAGATCCGATAGAGGCGGGGAGTATCTTAGTACCGAGTTCAACGACTATCTGAAAGAATGTTGGATAGTCTCACAATTGACTCCTCCTAGGACACCACAGTTAAATGGTGTAGCTGAGAGGCGTAATCGAACCTTGTTAGACATGGTTCCTTCTATGATGAGTCGCGCCTCGCTTCCTATTCACTTTTGAGGGTATGCCTTAGAGACAGCCGCCCACATCCTCAATCTTGTCCCTACAAAGAAGGTTGCCAAAACACCTCACGAAATTTAGACAGGGAAAGTTCCCTCGTTAGCACATATTAAAGTCTGGGGTTGTGAAGCTTTCGTAAGACGAGAGAACTATCTCGTCCCAGTGTGATACACAAGTCACGAAATTCGCTTTACCCCAAGCGAATATTACAACCCCAACTGAAATCGTCTCACCCTCGACCTCTATCGTCTACTACTCATTAGTTCCATACATCTCGCGGTCCATCGTATACAAACGAACTGGCCCACTCAAGTCTAAGACATCAGATGACACACAATACCCCTCAAAATGGAACCCACCTCTAAATCTAGAATCTCGTTTCACCTTCTCAATACACCACTATAGTCAAATCAAACTCGAGAGTCTGGCTTGACACATAACTGGAACCACTCGTCCTAATGAAGCACTCAACTCCAAACCCATGACCCGTAACTCACGCGTACATCACTTCTCCAATTCCTTCTGATTGCGATAACCACACCTTACTCAAAATACACCGATTCCCGACCATTAGGGAGATCCCAGTCTCGTCCCTGGACCGAACACTAGGATCCCACAGACTTAATTCATAAGGCTACCCAAGCCTAGGAACTCCCTTGTGTGCACATCCTGACTAGTGAATATTGTGGCTCCCCTTAGATTCACAACGCTTCTCTCTTATTTCTTGGCTAGTGAAAGCTACGGTTCCCCGCAGTTCCACAATACTCTTCCGCTGACCAGTGAAAACTACGGCTCCTCATGGTTTCATAACACTTTCCCTCTTACCAGTGAAAGCTACAACTCCCCACAGTTTCACAACGCTCGCTCATTGTTTAGTGAATATTATGGCTCCCCGCAGTATCACCACACCCTCTCGCTGATTGGAGAATACTACGGCTCCCCGCAGTATCACCACACCCTCTCACACTAACTCATGGATGCTACATGTCCTCCTAATCTT